CCCCCCCCCACCCTGCGGAGAGCCAACACCTGCAGTTCCAACAGCCACGCTCTCACAGACCTGCTTTATGGAGAATTTCACGAGATTTTCAATTAATTGAATTCCCAGGGAGATTTACTTCCAATGTTATTAATAAATTCTAATGCCGCCTATAACTCTCAATTGCTAGTTAATTAACTTGCAATTGGCACGTTGTAAAAGGCAAACTAAATGCCTTTTCAGGCGCGGGCTGGCTGGGGAAGCTGAGGAGCCTGTCGTGTGTGCTGAGGTAGACAGCGGGCACACGCGTTCCCTCCCTCTCCAGCTGAGTGACAACAGTGTGCCCAGCATCCTCAGCACTGAAGGAGGGTCACGGGGTCTCCTCCAGGGTTCCGGGGACCTGGGGTTGATAAGTGGTCACTGTTCCTAAACAAACAGGGCACGGACAGTATGGGCATCTTCTATATGGCTTACCAAGCACCTCAATTTTTTTTTCTTTTTTTGAGACAGGGTTGCTCTGTGTAGCTTTGGAGCCTGTCCTGGAACTTGCTCTGTAGACCAGGCTGGCCTTGAACTCAGAGATCCACCTGGCTCTGCCTCCCGAGTGCTGGGATCAAAGGCGTGCACCACCACTGCCCAGCCTGTACCTCGATATTTGATCCAATGTTATTCTGGGTATAACAGCCTCCCCCTCACACACCACTCTCCTCTTGACAGGATTCGTGGCACCTTTAGAATTCCAGCGATGGGTCTGGGTTTGTAGCTCAGCTGGTAGATCTTTGCACACGCGAGGCTCTGGGTTCAAACCCATGTAAACCAAGCTTGGTGGCTCACACCTGCAATCGCAGCACCAGAGAGGTGGAGGCAGGAGGATCAGAAGTTCAAGGCCACCCTAAGCCACATACCAAGTTTTAGTCAACCTGCCTCCTGTCTGGCCAAGGGAGCTCTGCAGCAGGGGGATATTGGCTTGGAGCGTGAGGATTAAATAAAGATGACACCAGGATTGACTGACTGGTTTTCCTGTGAAAAGCGAGCTCTCGGGAGATGGTGGCACATGCTTGTCACGGAAGCACCCAGGCAGAGGCAGGAGGATGGAGGGTTCAAGGCTATCGGGCGACACATAGTGAGATGCCATCTCCAGATGAAACGTCTATCCTGTCTGTCTACCGATCGTCTGTCTGTCTACCTACCATCCGTCTGTCTGATGAGCACATTTGTCACTGAAGCTCACGGGCTGTTCCATTCTGCAGAGAGTGCAAGCCCCGAAGGTCATTAGGCACAAACACTGTTGTCACAAGACAGGGGACAAGGAGATGTTTGGAAGGGATCAAGAAGATAGGATCGTAGGGACTTCTGTAAGACGCCAGGACCTAAGAGGACCCCCGGGACAGGGACAGGAGTGTCACAGAGGCAGGATGCTGGTCCCTCTGGCCACACATGCGGCGTGCTCCTCCTCTGTAGTCTTCTTTCATTCTGTCCCCAGCCCTATGGCCTCTGCTGGCTGCTAACTTCTTCCTCCCAGGACCTCTCACTTGTCCAACCCCTGTGACTGGCCGCTTAGCAGTCGCCTGCCACTCAACTGGTTGCTGACATCTTGTTACAGGAGTTGGGGGCAAAATCTCCAGCTGTGAGAGCCGACCAACAGATGGGTCACTTGTTCCCAATTCTCTAATTAAAGAGATGACAAATGGTAAAATGTAGAAAAGGGAGATTTCATCGATGTACTCATTGAGAAGAGGGACAGATAAAGGGGTTTAGTCACACACACACACACACACACACACACACACACACACACACACACACACACACACACACACATGGTCTGTATTCAGGGCTCTGACATGAGACTTAGGTTTAGGTGGAGGGAGAGCTGGAGCCGGGGACAGAGGCGTGTGTAATCAAGCAGTCCTGATGGAGGTGGGGTTGAGTTGATCATCAGCTCAGCTCTGGTTCTGCAGGGAGACCTGATACCATCCATATTGCTTGAGGGGACAAGCTGCTCCCCAAAGCATGATCACTCCTGTTTGGGGGTGATCTCATCATGGGATGTCTGTGG